AGGGTAATATTGCTATCAGTAGGGTGACTGATCACACAGCAATCTACTATATATTCTACAGAAGTGAAACCATCATATTTCCGTCCCTGTCCACAGCCAGAAAAAGAGAAAGAAAATCAATAAGGAGTCAACTTAAGACTACTGTGAGGGGAAGAAGGAATATGGAGTACCATAGGAGTTATTACAAGTGTTGTTCTGAAACTAATGCCTCCTATTTTACGATGTAGGGCCACAGTGTCACAGGCAGATGGTTATGGTATGAAAGTAGAGGTTGAACCTTCCCACCGATATTGCATTACATTTTGTTGCTATGTGACAGATGGCAGCAGAAGGGCAGTCTGACATGTTGTCTTCTGACATGGAAGCGGATATGAAGCAAAGGTGTGTCACTGAAATCTTACACAGACAAAAAATGGCAACTATTGATATTCATGGACATTTGCTGAATGTTTATGGAAACTGCACAGTGGATGTGATCACAGTGAAGTGGTGGGTGATGCATTTTAGCAGTGGCAATTGTGAAAGTGAGTCACATCTGCTTGTGCTGATTTTTACGGGCATGGCATGCAGGCTCTTGTTCATTGCTGGTGAAAATTAATAGCTAATGGTGGTGAGTATGCTGAGAAATAGTGTTTTGTAGCTGAGAATTTTCTCTGTCACATAATTTTACTGTGTTCTCTGTAACTCTTGTAGTTTCCATGGAAATAAATAGGAGGCATTACTTTCAGAGCAAGCTATTTGTCTTTGTTGAATGCAAAGGTTAGCAGCAAACAGAATAGTTACAGAGTAGTTTTCTAGCTCTTAGAAGTGACAAAGTATTTATTTGGTTTTACACATTGTTTAAAATATCAGACAAACAAACCTAAACTTCCCCCTACTGTTAAGGTTTGGATCTGACTGTTTTTACATTTACTTTAGACAGAGAAATGCGTTATCAATCTAGAATCTCAATCATAATTGCTGTTTGAGGGGTCAGGCGATGCACCAGGCACCATCTTCAAAATGATTAAAGTTGACATAATTCAGTGTCAACTTAATGGAAGCTCTATTGCCAACCTCAGTGGGAGAAGAATTAGATCAATGAGTGCTTCTGAAAAAGCATATCTTAAGTCAGGTCAAGATGAAAAGATTGGCACTGAAGAATCACATATTAATAAAGTTACTGAAGTGAACAACTCCACTTTCAGGTGGATTTGTAGAGTAATGGAAGGATGAAATGTAAATACATAAAATTAAGGAGAACAAGCAGACATTAGTAATTTTAAAGTACCAAACGCCATGTAAATATACACCTTGTCTGAATTCAACTGTGCTTGAATCTCTGTCACTAGAATAAATAAGACAGAACTTGAAGTCAATGGATAGTCATGGTTGTTCCAAAAACAATGTATACATCTCTTCAATAGCAGCGCTAACAGTAGAAAAAGGCAGTAGCTTCAAGTTAGATTGCTTAAGATTCTCCATAAAAATTAATTCCAGCCAGTCTCATCCCTCCTCAGCACATACAAAAATAGGAACAAAACAAACGGTCTGTGGTTTTTCCCCCCCTTCAGTATCATAACCCTGTTCACTGTTAGTTTTCTAACCACAAGTTGAAGTATCCAAAGAAATACTGTTTTCTTATCTGTATCATAACAGAAAGTGTCAGGTAGATTACCGACACTTTCTGCATTTTATGGCCAAATGTGGTGTATTCTTCACCACTTGAACTTCTCCAATCTTGTTGACAACCTTCCATTTTTGCAGATAGTATTCCCAAGGTTCACATCATCTTTTATTTTTCATTTCTGAAATCACTTAGCTTTCTATCTATGGAAGTCCTAGAATGGGTTGAGTGCACAGCCAGCCTTTAAGTGGCATTTACTCTTTTATGCCAAGCAAAGGCAAAGTGAAGAGAAAGCTCTCACATCCCTCAGCTGCTGAGGCTCTCTACAAAAGATTTTCCCTTCTTTGTTGAGGCACCCTCTTCTCCACTGTCCTGATTACATTCTCATTGAAATCAGATTCCAAGATCCGACAGAGGAGTAGGAGAATCTGCAGTAATCAGTAATTAAAACAAGTACTTATGTTACTGAGGGCAGAGAGAAAAGGCTTTCACTCTTTGCATACAGAAAACAGCTAGCTGGTGTGGGGGCTTTGCACACTTCAGGCGATATGTCCATAAATGCTCTTGTATTTGTGATAACAGCACATCAGTAGTTACTTATGTTGTGTACTGGAAAATGTGCAATATGCACTTTGGTACTGTTAATGAAATGCTGCATTATAACAAATCTATTGCACTTGCTATTTGCTCATTTTCAGCCACAGAGTCTGTTTTGCTCCCTGCTTCTAAAATCTACATGGCAATTATGTAATAAAGGATTTAAACGTTATGAACACCACAGAACACAACTGCCTTAAATGACAATCAACATGGTCTAAATAGCATGTTATTCTTTGGCACTTATTTGAGGAACCTTGTGAGAAGAATTCATGGTATAAATCCAGTCCACAATAGGAAGGTGCCCACAGCAACACTGGCAACCCCTTCTCAGATCATCAAGGAATGAAAAAGCCTGGAGAATAACCCACTTTCACGATTGGAGATCAAAGCTGAAATTGCGTGTGAGAGTGTGTGTGCCTGTAGAGGAGCACACAGAGAATGGAGAGTTGGCTTTATTGCTTGTTCATGTTCTATCTTGCTTTTTAATAAATTGCCTGGTCTAATTCCCACTGAAGTAAACTAGACAACTCCCATTGTCTTAAGTAATGAATTTAGTCCAGGAAAGAATGTCAGAACTTTTCAGCACCATTAAATTAATTCAAGAAGATGAAGAAAGAAAAGAAATTACCCAAGAAAAATATTAAAGTTAAATTCCATCTTCTGGTTTTAATATGAGCAGCTATGATGCTAGCTTGTGACTTTGAAACACTGGTTTCAATTCTCTGTACTATTTAACACAAGAAAAAAAAGACTTTTAAAGGAAGAACTGAAAATCAAGTTTCTTCAATACATTAAATACTCTCTGATAGTCAAGGCATTTTTTTCAGGAATAAGCACATCTAGAGCATGCGGACTATAATCCCACATACTGTAGAGAAAGGACTGCATAATATCACCGTCAGATGCTGTAACCACGAAGCTGTTGGGTAAGCTGGACTGCCACCACCATCTAGTTTTTCTCCAGATGTTTTTCTCACAAGCTTGGAGACTGCCACTCATTCCAGGTGGAGATTATTCTAAGAGATATACCCTAACTGTGCTTGTAAGAGCCAGACTATGGGGAGAATGTATAACCAAGGTTCAGATTCTGCCTGGATCCACATAGAGGCCTACCAAATTGCTCTACCACAATAAAACAGAAGTTATTTGTGCATGCATTGCTTCATAAGAACCAAAAAACTTCTCCAATTAAACCATAGGCATCTATGAGACTAGTTGTGGAGGTAAGTCTTGGTTTGAGATACTCAAATCACCCCCCCTGCCCTAAACAATTTTGCATATATCAGTTCAGCGCTCAGCTTTCCCAATCAGGAATGAAGACAGTATAAAATTCTAACCTAACAAAAGTGAGACAAAGACAAACATACAAAAAAAAAATCTGAAGTCATGAAATATAAACAGGTGTTACATTTGTATCAGAGAGAGAAATAAATTTAGAAAGTGAACATCTTTGTTTCTTTGTGAACCTCCATGAACTTCCCCCTTGGATTATGCCTTTCTTGCTGTGTTTACAGGAAACAGAAAAATGATTGAATGGAAGAATACTACTTCTTAAAGGCTTCACTTTGCAGATACTGTAACAGATAGTTGAACAGATATTTTAATGTCTTTCTGACTAATGCTGTACTTCCTAGTAAATGTATAAATATATCATTGTTAAATAAACAGTCCTCTAACTTCTTGTAATTACATACAGCTGCAAAAACCTGTTCACTGAAATTTCAGGAAGCAATGCAGAACTTTTTGCCTGTTCAGATTTTCCCATTTCCCTAGGCATTTTATCCTGAAGCATGAGCTGTTGTGTATATGTATATATATATGTGTGTGTGTGTGCTTTTTTTTTAATTGCTAGAAATGTATTTCACTTTTTAAATTTTTTTTGTACTTTGACTACAATTGATACTTAAATGATACATATGTCTTACCACAGGGATCTTTGTCTAGAAAAAGCTTTTCAAAAAGGCTTTAATTTAAGCAGAGAAAGCAGGTAAGGTTGACAAACACAGGTACCAGCTGCCCATGATATCCACAAGTTCATTATCTGCAGAAAGCATTGCTCGTTTGCCAATTTAAATCAAAGTGTTGCAGATGTCTGAAGTGTATCAAGTTTCAAACAACACAAATAAAACCCAAACAAAGCAGCAACAAAACAAACAAAAACAACAACAAAAAAACAACTTGCAGTGTCATAAACCCACAGAAGCCATTTAGGATGAAAGACGGCCCTGACAGAAGCCTTGATCTAGACTGCTGATGAAATTCAGATCCAAATCTGTTCATTCATAAACTAGTGAGTAGAACCATGCAAATTTTTTAAGCACAAGTGAAATATTTTAACACATATAACTTTTTGCTTGGCTTTTTCCTTATAATGGAAGAAACCAAAATCCCAAATCCAAACTCCATCTAAAAATCTGGGAAACTTTTTATCTAGCTCCAGACTCAGGCAGTTCATTTTATGTGACTTCATTGCCAAATAAAAGAGTAAAACTTTTATTTACCAAGCAGCCCAAGATTTAGATACTCAATCCTGAACAAACAAAAAATTCCTTGAACTCCTTTTAATAAATTAGAGGAAGAGCTGCTGCTGCTTATCTGTTCACTAAATAGCACACAATTTCAGACGTTTTTTTCTTTACTATAGCGCAACAGAGAAGTCATTATTAAAAGTATGTTTTAACTTCATTATACACAGATAATGGTAAATTTGTATACCACACAAATAGATTTGTTTTGAGGCAGAAATTTTATGAATAATGATAATGAATTCCAAACATAAGGAAGAAGCTCTCACCTCTTCTAATGGTGATGGTCTTGGACCAAATGACAGATCCATAAAATATTTAAGTTACATTGAGCTGTGGAGTTTTAATCTCATCTGGTCAGGACAGGTGCGTGAACTTTGTCTCTGAAGATCCTTGCTTTTTAACTGCAATATCCTCCTGTTGCCTGTCCCCAGATTCTCATCTCTGCCTCAGAAAGACAGGTTGGAGATTAGAGTGTTGGCACTAAAGAATGGAAAACAGAACAGGAAGAGAAGCGTGTGGGACTGCTTAAGGCTTTAATCCTAGCGCATCCTCCTTCAATAACTCTAAAAGTTCATGCACAGTACTTCCATTGCACAGCCCAAGAGGATAAAGCTGCCAAATTCCATGTGCAATTAAAATCTTTGGAAAGCAGCTTGAAAGATCAAATCCTTCCATGAACTCTGATTCTTGACCTCTCTCTTCCCTTTGGAAAGCTGAGCAATCACAGCTAATACCTAACAAAAATTAATTAGGATTCATCCTCTTGGTGTAAATAGAGTAATACAAAAACTGTAATTGTTTCCAGCAAAATAAATACATTTTGATCACAGGAGTTTGATAGGCCAGATACTGTTTTTGCCAGGTGCATAGAGAACACAGTGGCTGAAACAAGCTCCAGCTTTTTTTTTAATCCTCTAGTATATTTTAGCAAAATTCTTTCCTTACTTTGTATTTTTCAAGAAAAAGCTAAACAGATTCTTTGTGCTAATATACAGATTGTCAAATAGAATTTTAAATAGATGCAGAGTTGCTTTGAGCTGGATTCTAAAGCAGATGGAAGCCAACATAATTGTTGGAAAAAGAGGTTGACATTCATGTTTCCTGACACATATATATGAGGGCAGACTGCAGCATTCTGCTCCCTCTGAAGTGCTGGGATTTGGGCCAGGTAGCTGCGATAGTCAGGTTGAGAGGACATAAAGGAGAAATGGAGATAAGTCAAAATGATGCCATGCACCAGGAATATTGCCTTGCACAATCTAGTTTAAACAAAGGAACAATACTGCTTTATTGCTATAATTTACCATAAAAAGAATTGCTGTATTTTTCTCTGTGCTTATCATAGCTTCAAGGATCCAAGACTGTCTGCATCTAGTGAAAGTTTTGCTATTTGCAGCCTAGCAGTAAAAGGATTTCCTTTAAATCTCTCTTCTTTAAGTAAATTGTTAAAAATATATAACATTTTAACAATAAAATCCCAATTATTTTCCTTCCTTCACTTTTTAAATCACAATTGCTTTCTCAATTAAGAGACCAGGCTAAATTTTTCCTGTTCTATTACCAGTGTTTTGGTGCAGACTATCACTTGTGGATAAAATCACATAAGAACCACGATGTCTTTTGGTGGACACTCAAAAGCTTCCTCAACAAGGCAGGGAAAAAAAAACAGGGGAAAAATGGTATGATCAAAAGTTTCACTCAAATACAATTTGCCTCAGGAAACAGTTTACTGGGCAGAAGCTTCCTACAGCTCAGATGGACAACAGTTTTCAGAAACTGACTCTTACACAGTGCTCTTAATCAGAGACTCCCAGAGGAACTTTTCTACCTTCACGCTTTTCACCATCTGCCTAGCAGTCACATGAACAACGAATTCTTCCCATCAACCAAAATCCCCCTTTGTGCTCATAGCCTTTATGAGGACCAGATGTTCTTGGGTCTCACTAGACCTAAACCATATAGATACAGCTGGCAATAATCTAATTAGGCATAAACAGGTCTCATCTCCCCTTAAACAGCCATTCATCTTATGACCAACTGGTATGTTTGGATATCTTAAAATTTTCAACTGGATGGTTAGCTTGTTTCTTTAGTGTCAAGGAGGAGGAGGTGTGTATGTGTAGGCTTGTATAAAGTCTCTCCCTTCTGTTAATGTCTGGCCTTTAGGAAACATGCCAAGACCACAAACATACACCACACTCAGAGGCCTACATTTTTCTCATTTAAAGCAGCATACATTTACATTGGCTCGTCTATCTTCAACAAAGAGATCTAGGAGTTAGATTACCTTGTTAAAACTCTATCTCAGCATTATATTAATATGAATGTTAGAAATATATATGACTGTACTTACAGTTTTCCAGTTGCTCTCTTTTGGGTGGCAGTTGCCTTTCTTCCTTGTTCCTTGCATGTTTCTTCTCTCAGTCTTCTTTTCACTCTATAAACACTTATATCTCTTCATCTACATACTTCTCACCAGTCTGCTTGATCCCTGACTGCAGAATGAACTGTAAGAAAAAGACAGGTAATCTGAGCTATGACGCAGCTGTTGGTCTGTTGGTTTTTTCTTAATCAAACCACAAAATCCTATGACTACTTGACTCCAATACAGAAAAGTTCAAAGCCCTTTGGTGTCACATGGAAAATACTTTTTGCTGTGGAAAAAGGTGGAGTAACCTCTACCTGTGGCAACTTATATTTCAGCCAGGATAATGATTGAGCTGATAAGTTTGAGCATGGGATCTAGAACGTGGGCACCTTGCCCACTCATGACTTGCCAGTTGCTGGGAATTATTTGCCTTTCAATCTACACAAATCCTCACTGGCCAGACATTGTGCATGCCAGTGATGTTCACCAGTCAGAGTAAATACAACAGTCCCATTGGGAAGTTGTGATGTGAAAGTAGGACATTTAAAAAAAAAAAATAAATCAGTCTGCTGTAGAGGAGGCTGAGGTGCGACTCAAAAAATGCTTGCAAAACTGGAAAAACTTCTACTGTGCTAATTCAGACATTTACAGGGAATTACAGGCAATCTGAATGAATTCCATTTCAAGGTCAGAGGAGTTTGCATAAATGATTCTCATTTATGAGAGATCATAATAAACATCAGTTAGAGAAGTATTTATGACTGGGAACAAGCTTGTTTGTTAATTGTTAACTGATGAACCAAATCCTATGTAAGGTCACATTTTGAAATAGGATATGGAAAAGCAGTAAAGCAGATTTAACAGTCTTAGGAAAAAACTTCTAAAACATCAAAACAAAAAGGAGACTGAGGTGGAAGTGGCTTAGGTCAGAGTTAGTGCTTGATGAGGACAAGTGAAATATAGGAAATAGTTTGTATATTAGATTTTTCTTTCCTTAAAGATAAAATAATCATTACTGGTTGGCTTATATGATGGACTACTAATGTTATGTATGCCTATATTCTAAAATTGTAGCTAGAGAATAATTCTTCCTTCTCCTGAAACTTTTGTAAAGTTGCATAAGCATTAATTAATATGAATGGGTTATTGACAGGGAATGCTAGGTAAGGAGAGGTACTTGCCTCAAATGTATGTTTGGAGAAAAGAAAGCATCCCCAAGCAAAAAGAAAATCCAAGCAAAGATTCTGTTGAAGAGCCCCAGATGTCCTTATCTCTCCCTGATGTCGACTTTGCCAACAGAGACAGGGATTACGCCTCCTGAGCAAGACAAGGAACAAATATGAAATTGCACCAGTTGGGCACCTTGTTGAGAGAGAGAAAATAGGAGAGCATGAGAGCTGAGATGTTAAAAAAAAAATAAATAAATAAAAGAATAGAACTAAGTCTAGTCCTTCTAACGGACTTTGTGAAACTTCTCTATGGTTATTGTTAGCACTCCCAATGAGGAAAGGAAGACTGAAAGCGTGTCCCAATTCTGGATGCTACTGGAAAGAAAACAATGAAAAGGATTCACACTAAAGAAGAGGGACACGTACATTTTCTTTTTTACTTCATGTAGATTCAGTTTCTGACTTTACCACGTGCATTTCATCTTCCCCAGATAAAAACTGATTTGTATCTATGTGCTCAAAAGGCCCCAGGGAGGATGCACTTTTATATTTTATGTTCCTGTGCAAGGGCTCAGCTGATTTAAAATACACTTGGGAGGCAGCCCAAATATTTTGATTCTGACTATTTTTGCTATTGCTAACCACCTGAAAGCTAATCATTACGATGACAGACATCTGTCCAAATCAGATGTTATTTCCTTTTTGTGAGTTATCCTACTATCTCAGGGAATACATAAAAATAAAAACCATCCCTGTAGAGTTCTGCATAATTACTGACAAGACCAAACATCCATATTCTTCTTCCCATCTCAAATTTATGGATTGCTGCAGTAGGAAAGAGGATCTGTACTTAAACTTTTGATTCTTTCCCAGTCTTTCTAGAGCTTTGTCATCTCTCTGAGGAAAACAGATCAGGGAGACTGGATCATGCTTGCCTAGGAAGAGAGGAAATTTTATTGCATCTAATCTACTCACACAGTGAATGGATCTGAGATTCAATGCTTAGGATATTTAGGTATAAAACATCTGTCTGGCTTCCTGACAAACCAACTCTGAAATGTGAATACAATACAATGCAGAGCAGAAATACCTAAGATGGCTGTGTATGAGCTAACAGGGGAACCTTCATCTCAGCATGGCATTGCAGTGCTGTACATAACACTCATGTGAGCTGGTGTTGCTAGTTCAGTGTTTCTGTGTTGTACTCCCCTGATTAGTATGGACACGGTAAAGGAGAAACAACTTTCCTTCAAATGCCTTATTACCAGAGTGTGTTCAAATGGAATTCCCACTCTCCACATTATATCTGAGTCAAGACTTTATCAAGGAGGAGAGAATGACCTTGAAGAGGATACTACCCCAGGACTTCATCTGAAATCCTGACTCTCCTGCCCTTAGAAAGCCCTCTCATAAGGTATCATCTCACAGGTCGGAAGCACTGGCAGCCGGTGATGAATAAATCATAGCCTATAATCTCTTTAATACAAGTCTCGCTTCTAACTCCTAATAAATGAAAACACTATGTTTCCTTTAATAAGAAATGCATGAAAGTGTGCCATTCATAAAAAGATGCAATTAAACATATGAAGCATATCCTGATGTGACCCATATTTCAGTAACAGTGTGATCTTCTTTCTTGTGTGGCAGAGGGACTTGTCAAGGCAACTTCAACATTCAAGTCATCTCATTGAGAAGAATTGATCAAATTATTAGGAATAATTGTACACATGCAAAATAATTCTCCAGTGCAAAAATACTAAATATAAATATCTATTTGAAAATAGGCTGTAAAATCATGCTTTCTTTCTCTGAAGAAAAAAAAAAATCCCTTTTATTCCTCTTATGAAAAATAAGGAGGAGCTTTGCTTCAGACAAATTAGATCACAAAAAGCAGTGGAGGAATTGCTCACAAGAAAAGGATCCTTCTTCCAAATAATTGTATTCAGGTCCAAATATAAGAACCTAAAATGTTATTTGAAGAGTTAATTTTGCAGAAGTCTTTTAAATACTTGTCATCTTTGACTTAAACAGTCTAGTGCAGAAAAGTGAGCAAATGAAAAAAAAACACATTCACCAAAATGGAGTCCAGCATTACTGAGCAGAGCGTCCATTAATGCCCTTCATTACCTTCAGAATGATCTTTTTCACCATTTTAAATCTCAGTAATCATCTCCTTGTCATGGAAAAGCCTTATTCTAAGTAAACGGATTTCACTGAAAATTCTTTGAGCTATTACTGAACATTCCTCTTTCTGCTGTCTTTTCTGAAGTACAGGACTACTTAATCAAGCAATTGTGCCCTTGCTCAATGAAGTCAATAGGAATTTGTTTTTCACCCCATTTCTGCCAGGACTTAATCTTCAAATTTTGAAAGGACTGCCTGTTTAGTTAAGAAAGTATTTAGGCATACTGCTGTCCTAGGTGATAAACCTCTCTGTTTTCTTTATAAATTTCCATCCAAAAATACGTGTAAAAATACCAATGAATTTCTAGAAGTGGAAAACTGCTCTCTGTGTAATCCTCCACTGAATACTACTGCCCTGCTGTCGATTTGGCAGAGAAACTGTAAATGATGTTGTTTTGTTTGATCCTTACCATCTCCAATAAGCCAAAAGATTTATCCCATTTTCATGAGAGATTCCACAGTCAATTGACACGAACCAGCTACATGAGTAGAGATTGCCCAGTCAGAACAAACCCCTAGTAAATTCCAATAATTAAAATTAAGATTCTGCAATAACTCTTCTCTGTAATTCATGTTCTAAGGATCATCTCCTACTTACTCTGCTTGCTGCCACATATGGCTTCTTACAGAAAACAGCTGATGCCAGGTCTCAATTCTGATCTGCCCAACAAGCAGTGGCCTTCAAATACCACAGGTAAAAATGTTCAGGACATCCCCCAGAGCTGCAAGATGAAAACCACAACTGTCAACAACAGCTGTGCGCCAGCATAGTATAACTTTATTTATGTAAAAGTGAAGCTCAGCAGTGCTGAATACTGAGTTTTCCTGAAGGGTAGTCCAAAAGTCTTGCAAAAGCTAAGGTAAAGCTTGCCACATCCCAGTCTGCATGCAAAACTCATTTATTTAACCTTGCCCTTTTCTCTTTCTGCCACAAACATACAGCTGTGGGTTGTTTTGAAACAAAACCCATACAAAATGGCACAAATAATAGCACGCACATTTATCCTCTGGGGAAAAGCTGAGAGACTAAACAACATGCAACAGACATTAACTGCATCACTTTTTACAGTCTGGGAGGCTAACAGTTATGAAAGCCATGGAGATTCTCAGCAGCCTGTGCCACAAAGAGCCTGTTCAGCCCACATTAGAAGTGTTGACTTCTAATGCACAGCTCATAACTGGGATTAATATTGAAAATAATCAAAAATTGAGATTATGCAAAGAAGTTGCATCACTTTTACAGTGTATAATCAGTGAATCTTAAGATGCTACAATTATGAAATAAACAAGAGAGTTAGGCAAAACAGATTATGATAACAAAAAAAGGACAAATAGAAGGCTTACCCCTATCCTAGGCTCACTCACAAAACACCAGCAGAGGCAGTCTCCAGAAGAGATCCTTCTCTACTGATAGCCAGCTCTTAAATAGGTCTAGGAGGTCTGCCTTCACCTGTGCTCCTCTGGCTGACTCATTGCTCACCTCAGGTGATTAATCAGAGGTTCAGGCCATGACTCTGCAGTTCCCATACATACAGACACACAACTCCACACAGCAATTGCCCCACTTCAGAGATATGCCCCCCCCCCAAAATGTTAAGGGTGATGAGTATTTAAACCCCATCTGATTATGGCATACAAGTCACCAGAGCATCTCCTGCATTAATAGTGTGCAAGTTCTGTCAGATCTTTCTGTCAAAGCCAAAGTGTTCCAGGAGCTTGGTGACTGCTTGCCTGCTTCTAGATTAGGTGCAGCTCAGCATGTCCACCAAGTTCCTTGATATCCCTCATTTTAGCATATCTTTTTGACATGTTCTTTTATAAGCATCACTGTTGTCTGTTGCAAGACTGTTGTCCTTGCACTGCAAGTTTAGCATAAACAAACGGCATTTGAGGAAAACAGTTTATGATTTAAGCAGAACAAGACCTTAACACTCATAGGTATATGATTACTGTATACACCTAATAAAAATGTAAGCGTTTACAAAATTGAAGAGCAGAAAATATGAAATATATTCTAAATATATATATAGTATAAGACCAGGTACTGCTAATGATGAAGGAAAGCTAAGCAATAAAAGGTAAAATAAATACTTCACAATTTCTAACACAACTAAACCACGTTATTATTGAAAATATTTCAAAATGTATTTGAAGTTCTAGCAATTGCACAATTCTAGTGCAATTCCAATGCACACATCTTAAAACTCAGTATTAAAGAAGGTGAATGATAGTTCAGACAAAAATCATTCACGTAATACTTTAACTTTTTTTTACAATGAATATAAGCAAATCTCAATATTATCTCTTTGGATGCTTTGCATGGCTTTGCTGTGAATTAAATAATAAACGAAAGGGTTACTACAAAATGACAAGGAAGGGATCTTTTGCATAACTCCTCAGCTGAACTAAGGCAGATGAGAAGATCTCTGGAGATCATAAAATAAATGAGCATTTATAAATATAGATGGCGAGGTCCTGGGAAAAATACAGTTTATTACCCTTGGAGTTCTGGGAGAACCTGCTGGAGGCAGACTGTGTTCCCCAGCATTAGCGCTTGGCCAGCCACCTTCAAGAACATACCACCAAGAAATCATCTGCTGTTTGTATGAATTATCAGCATGTGCACTACTATGCTGAGGTCACGGACTGCTCCCAGCAGAAGAGGACAGCCTGCCACATGGACTCCCCTAGAGCCTGGCACAGTGTCTGGAATGGAGACAGAGCCAGTTTGCATGAGAACAGAAAAAGTCAGCCTGAGAGACTGCCAGCCAGCCGTGGCCATTTTAACACCCTAGTTGAACACAGTGAAATTTGCTTTACTAAATTTCTCTTCCCAAAACCAAATTACTTAAGATTTCACAGAATGGAAGAAATAATTGAGTTTATTTTTGTTTACTTTTCTGGTAAGCTAACATTCACATTAAATTACACAAATCCAATCATTTATACTGTTTTGATCGTCTTCTTAAAACTTCCAGGCACTCACCATCAGCCAGTTACTGCTATATGTATAACTGTCATTCTGCTCTTTGTTATACAGTATTTTAAGGTCATATACAACATTAATCCTGTTCCATATTTTATTAGACTACCATTCTCTTCCACCAAAAAATGTTATGTTGATCTCCTCCGGCTCCAGCTGTAATTCTCTTCCACAGTGGATTTACTCTGTTGCTTATCATTACAGCACTAAGTACACTTGCTTTTAATAAAAGCAGGAATAAATTAGACTTTAGTTAGCAATTGTACCAAAGGGTAAGGTAATTAATAGCTAAACAGACATGATCATTCATGTAAAATGAATAGCATGGGCTACCTGCTTGAAATCCTTCTCAAACCTTTACTTGTTTTATTCTAATAATGACTAGAACAAGGCAGGGTAGTTAACTAAAACTGCTTTGGTAAGAATAATTTTTTACAACAGCCTTTTAAAGCAGTTACTCAGTAATTCAAGATGAAGACACAATTCAATCGTCAGAAACAAGAAATCTGATTTGACTTATTTGGGTCACAGTTTCACCTTTTGTCCAGATGAATCATATGAAATACTGTGATATGCAACACTATATTCCTTGGCCATATACGCAGTGATATCAGTGAAGCACTTTGAAGATGGGCTATAAACAGATCCTGCCCCCAGTGCACACACCAATGCCAGATGAAGCAAGATGAACAAAGTGCTTGCTGCCACACCTGCACTCCATATTGCTTACTTTTAAGCTCAAAGACACTACCTTTGACTCAGGAACTGTGTCTTGTACTCTGTCTTATACGGCCACTACTGCCACTGAGAGAAGATACAGGATCTGGCCCAGATATGCCATACTTACTCAACATGAAGATCCACTGGCAATCTCATAATGTAGAAAAAAAACATGACATTTACAGAATATATATGCTACTTCTCTATTTAATTATCATGGGGCAACCACAGCTCAGACTATGTAACTAAGGAGCTGCATCTTTCTGCAAAAGATCTGTCTCCAGGGCCTCTATCACTTAATCAAGGGCAATCTTTCTGCTGCTTCAGATGTATTACTCTTGTATTAGGATTTTTACTGAGTCACATTTTCTGTTCCCCCCAGACCTGACATAAAGGTGGAAGGACATGAAAGCAGAACTACAACAAACTCTGCATTACAAATTGTGGTTGATTACAAGCAGCTATTGCCTCTCTACTCCTAGTCAAGATCAAGCATGCAACAGTAAAGAATCCTAGCTTGAAAAGACTGATTATTAGTGATTAAGAAATTGCAGAATTACTTAAAAATTACATTAGACAAAAGACACCAAATTGAACCTGGAATATCCCTCAAACATCCGTAGAATTTACCCCCAGAGGACAGATCTGTGAACATATTTGCAGTTATATTTCAAATATCACAGAAGCAAGTGTTGCAATTCTTCCAACTTGTGTTTGCTTTGGTTTGGAATCAGAAAGCCAGTCTGAGAGTAAAAAAGAATATGCTGCTGCTTTTGAATGAAGGAGCACACTGAAAGTTGAGTAACTCCATAAAAACCCTGAAATGACAGGTCTCCAAGTCAGGATGAAGAGGGAGGAAAGATTCTGGCAAAAACCTGTCAGAGCACAGCACTCTGATGACGGCTACAAGATGGTCCCTCCAGCTTTGTCTCAGAATCCAGGAGCATCAATTCACTGAACTCTTTGTGAGCCTGGAACCTCCCATGCCTAAAAATACGACTATGCCTGCAGTACCTGCAGATCTATGAAGATTACAGCCTGAGGAGTGACTCCTACAAAATGGATATGAATCTTTTATTTATGTTGTGTTTTGGAAAGAAGTGTCCAACGGCAGGTGGATAAGAATATCACAGATAGAAGAATGGACTCTGAACTGACCATTACCACTTAGGAGTGAGACAAATGGAAGCAGTTCTGTGAAAATATTTTTTTTTAATTTAATTTTTTTTTTTAATTAATTTTTGTTTGCAAGCAAATCATGCAAGGCAGGCAGGAAGCTGATACAAAAATATAATGTATGTTTCTCAATGCAATGAATAGATCGGACCTATGGAACTCAGTGCCAAAGGAAACTGTGCCAGTAAGAAACTTGTAGAGATTTAAAAGCAAACAAATATGTGTAGAAATGCACCACAGATTACAAAGCAGATTAGGCACAGGCATATTTGGGAAACTCTCTGAGAATACAGTCAGAGTCTGAAAATGACTAGGATGGAAGTAGCACTTTTGTTTGACCTGTCCTCACTGTTCCTCAGGCATCACTTTGTTTATATTTTGGGCTTCGTGGACAATTTCTATAAACAGTTACAAATGCTCTAATGTCCCAGCAGGCTTGGACATTATTCTAAATTCCACTCGCCTTGCTGAACCATCTTAAATATTTTCTGGAGACTTATTTTTCTTATGAACCTGAAGAATAAGAAAAAAATTTTAGTCTCCCTCATCTATACACTCCATATCTTAGATTTTTTAAAAGCCTTTAAGAAACTATGAGTTTTCTGTGCGCATTTCCCAAGATAATTGTAACACTTCGATATTTCAGTAAGAATGACTCTGCAAAGACTGTGACACTTGAAGAATTCCACCTGAATGGCCCATAACCCAAAAAGAAGTTCAGAACAAGAAAAAAAATAGAAATTAAAAAATAATGCTTTGTAAATCTGTTTTTAGATACATACTTTTATTTACAAGGAACTGTTGGGTTTATTTTTAAACAGAAAAGCTCATCAGGAGAACATTTAAATAACAGGCTATAGAGCATCAAAAATTAAAACCAGCCCAGAGTGATCTGGATTCCACCCATCCTTTCTTACTTATTTTAGCTTTTATTTCATGATCAGCTGCACTTGTCAGATGCTCTCTTAGTAGCCCACATCATGCCCTTGTGTTTACTCTATATGCATATTTCTCTCGTGCTCAGTCAAAAAACATTAAACAAAATTTTATTAAGAATGACAAAGCTTTACTTAACAAATACAAGACACCAATAAAATCCTCCTCAGTCTGTGTGTTTGATTCTCAGAAATTTCATCTTCCAGAGCTATTTTTTATTCATCCAGCACAAAGCAAAGAGTTCCTGGATTGTATACATGCATGAATCCACAACCTCTGAAAACCAGAAGTAGTCCTGTCATCAGAATTAAGTGGAAAAAAGTTTAAGAAACCTACATATTCTTTTGCAAATAATTGCAGTCTCTGAATGAATTTTTTTCACCAATATCCAGGTGTTAGTGGTTTCCATGACAACATTCTGTCAGTTTTCTACTATTTCCAGTTGTTTTCTGCATTAAAGTTACATATGATATTATTCAAAGATTAGCTTCAGATTTTGCAGAACCTGAAATCCTTCTTAAAAAAGGCTGCTATACCAATAATGCTTAAAAAGTGTTGAGAGTCAA